GAGAAATATTTTGGTGTTTCATCCTGTCAATTTTATTAGTTAAGGCTTACATTCGTGTGAAACGATCACACAAATATCCTGGAAGATGTGAGGATTTAGGTCGTGACAAACGACAACCTCGGAATCCTAAGACAAGTTAGAGCTTATATTCTATAGCAGGGCTATACGAAGGCATAAAGATAAGGTGAGGATTTACGTTGCATAAGCAAGAAACCTCAAAGTCGTATGGCTTTGTTGTTTAAGTCTAAGGAAGGAAGATTGGTTTAGCTGGGGAAGACAGGTTTTGCTGTTGAAGATGTTCGTGGTGCTTACCATGCTAGCTCCAAGCTCCTTGCCGCGACGAGTTTCAGTTTTCTAGTGTGTCAAAGTTATGATGTCAAATTAGGTGGCCCTATGGTTGAAGTTCCTTAAATTTTATGGGGGCATGTTAAAGTTGATTAGAGTGACACCGGTTAGAATCCTACGGTTCCCTCGTTCCCGTGCCATTATTTTCTATTGGATTCACTTACTCTAAATGAACTTACTAAACTCAACTTAATGAGTTCCATAATTTCATTTAGACCTTGAGAAGCCTTGTTAGCAACCGTATGTTACCTCCTCCGAGGAATTCCCGATCATTCGATAGAGACATCTTAATTTAGATGCAATTGTAGTTTTGTGTGATGTTTGTGATTAAATTTTGAGTTATTTTATATTTTGAATGTTGTGGCGGTGAATTTTATCTTGATTGATTTTAGTTTTAGTTTTTGTTTTGGTTTCGTGGCTATCTTGATAGTTTTAGTTTTCATGCAGGGTGACATTATTTTTTAGCATGAAAATTTGTGTAAGCATAAAAGTATAGCATAAAAGTACAAGAAAGACGACGCTGAAAAACTGTTGTCGGCACTATTTTTGGTGTGGGGTTTGCCCGTAAGAAGCTGTTGGTCATCGGAATTGAAATCCCGTTGCCCGCTTCGGAAGGACGTTTTTTTTTTTTAAATTTTATTTTTGAAAAAGATGAAGTCAAACTGACCCCATAATTTTCATAGTTTA